TTTGTTTCCTCTTTGATGAATAATTAACTGCTAAAGACATTCTCCACTTCATATCTTCCTTGATGCAGTATTAATACGTAATCTGGATAGTTACAGATTTGGCTTCTGACCGAGAACTGAGCAAATATCAATATTTCCACCTTGGAAGGAACTTTAGGAGATGCGTCACCTGCCTTCTGATACTGAGTGTTAATCAGTCTTTGCCTTAGGATTGAGAAATATCTTGCTTGCGAGTTCTGAAAGGCCCATTTGTAAGGAAACCAAGTTGAGGATGCTTGACCCATGATTATACACAAAGGTGTATATGTGTGTAGGGGTAATCTATCTGCTGTTGTGAAGATTGTGTTTTTCTTGTTTTGTCATGTGTGAATATACATATGTATTTAGTACACTTTTATCACACCCTTCCTCCAAGGAGCTCAGGGCAGTGTACATCGGTCTCTCTTCCTCCATGTTATCCTCACAACAGCTCTGCGTAGTAGTAGCTGGGTCAGAGAGAGTGGCTGGCCCAAGATCAGCCAGCAAGCATCCCTGGCAGAAGGGGTTTTTCAACCTGGAGCTTCCTAGTCTGGCTCTTGACAGCTACGCTACACTGAGAAGTTGTCATTATGCACATGATACTGTGTAGATGTGATCTTCATTTGTGGTCTTCAAGTACTTGAAGGGCTGTCATATAGAGGCTGGTACGTAGTTGTTTTCTGTTGCCCCAGAAGGTCGAACCAGAACCAACAGGCTAAAATTAAATCAGAAGAGTTTTTTGGCTAAACATTAGGAAGAACTTCCTGACAAAGCGGTTCCTCAGTGGCTTCCTCGGGAGGTGGTGGGCTCTCCTTCTTTGGAGGTTTTCACACAGAGGCTAGATGGCCGACAGCAATCCTGTGAACTTAGGCAGTTCGTGAGAGGGAGGGCAGGAAGGGTTGCATCCGTGCTTAGTTCTTGTGGCCCTTTCTTACACACCCAAGGAAATGTTGATTGCCGCTTTCGGGTCAGGAAGCAGTTTTTCCAGGCCAGTTTGGCCAGAGATCCTGGAGGTTTTTTGCCACCTTCTGGGCTTGGAGCAGGGGGGGTACTTGGGGTGTGGGGGGAGAGGTAGTTGTGAATTTTCCACACTGTGCAGGGGGTTGGACTAGATCAGTGGTGGCGAACCTATGGCACAGGTGCCAGAGGTGGCACTCAGAGCCCTCTCTGTGGGCACGCGTGCCATCGCCCCAGCCAGGCCCAGACCATCATTAAAGTGTCGAATTCTCTGCCAAATAATTTGAAGTCAATGAAAGCATTTGGGATTGCTTTCCTTACTTTGTTTGGATCATCTTAAGCTAATGCATGAGTTGTTTTTTCAAAGTAAAACCTCAGTATTCAGGTTAAATTGCCGTGTTGGCACTTTGCGATAAATAAGTGGGTTTTGGGTCGCAGTTTGGGCACTCGGTCTCTAAAAGGTTCGCCATCACTGGACTAGATGATCCTGGAGGTCCCTTCCAACTTTATGATTCTATGATTAACAGTAAACATGATTTCCCCCCCTATATTTATTTAGAAAATATGGTTCAGGTACCAGAGTTCCCTGTATAAACTTCACAGCGTAGAGCTGGGGTGTAGGATTTTATGTGTTCAGGCTTCAGGATCCCTGACTTGGAGTATTGAAGCACGCAGTTGGCAGGCAGTATGAAGCCTCTGGATTGGCCAAGCTTGATACTAATAGCCAATGGCGGGATTTCTGCCTCCTGCTTTGAACCCAGCAGCCCCAGCTGGCTGCACATTAGCTCTGAACCCAGACTTTGGGTCGGGGGGCCCTCTGTCCGGAGCTGGATTCAGCAGCACTCTGGCACAGGGGCAGGACGAATATCATGTATACGTTTGCCCTTTTTTGAAAAAGCATCTTCACAGCTAGGAAATGGCTGTCCGTCTAAGCAGCCCTATGCTGAGCCACGGTCTCTTTGACATGCAGACAAAAGTGGATATTCTTTTCTGCAGAAACCAAGTAAACCTTCGTTCTGTTCCCTTTTAGTTGAGAAAAAAAAACAACCAGCCCATTGTTCAAACCCAGATGTTCAACACAGGGGCCTGCAGGTCCTCTGCTTAGTAGTAATAGATTGTTAGCTGATTTTAAAACCAGCAATCTCACCTTACAGATTTGACTTTAGCTCATATTTTCTTGGCTGTCCAGGCAAAGTAGCCCTCTGTGAGATGAACGGATCGCTATCTGAGAGAAGAAGGGGGGGGAGAATCAGTTTTCTCTCTTTCTGAGGAATAGATCAAGGCCTTCAGAAATGCTGCAAAGAATTTGGTTCTTGCAGAGGAGCCAAGACAGATGTTCCAGAGCGCCGCAGATGCATAAGCCTGAATCAGTGGGTTTTGGGAAGTAAATGCATAGCAAGCAGATCTGTTGGCATGGTCTGGAACCAAAGAGATGGAAATGCTATTATGGGATTCTAGAGGGCAGTGCTAGAGAGAACCAGTTTGGTGTAGTGGTTAAGTGCACGGACTCTAATCTGGGGGAACCGGGTTTGATTCCCCACTCCTCCACTTGCACCTGGCTGGATGGCCTTGGGCAAGCCATAGTTCTGGCACAGCTGTCCTTGAAAAAAAGAGCAGTTTCTGTCAGAGCTCTCTCAGCCCCACCTACCTCACAGGGTGTCTGTTGTGGGGAGGGGAAGGGAAAAGGAGTTTGTAAGCCGCTCTGAGACACCTTTGGGTAGTGAAGGGCGGGGTATAAATCCAATCTCCTCCTCCTCCTCTTCTTCTAGATCAGTAGGAGCTGCTGATGTGGTCCCTTTTAATCAGTTTAAACCAGGGAGAAAATCTGGAGCTGGAGACAGTCTTATCTGTTTAAAAAAAAATTAGTCCTGTCAAATGCTTCTCATTTTGTATGCTGGCTTGCTGTTTCAGGCACCTGCACCATAAAGATAAGAACTATCCTTGTTCCAGTTTACAATTCAGCTGTCCTGGCTTAAGTCCCCCCCTTTTTTTGTGCTTATGTACTACAACAGTGTTTAATTATTAGCAGGATGTTACTAGGCCAAATGGATGCCGGGAAGGTCTAACTCCAAGGATGGCTTCCCTAGAAACCGGAGGAGGTCCCTTCCATAAGCAGTGATAACATGCACATATGTATTCCCGTGTCACGTTTCCAAGATGAAGGAGCCCTTAACATTGGCTTGGGCTAGACTTCTGAAGGTGGAAACCATTCATAGGATCATACAACAAATGAGAAAAGCCATCATGCTCCGAGGGAAAGGGGCTGTTCATCAGTCCATTGAGGCCCCAACCTTAAATCAGTCCTCTGTGCAATCAACAGGTGCACTCTGGAAAGGTACTTCAGGGCATCTGTGCCTAGCTTTTGGGGTTGATCCTGATATATAATACCCTGAAATTGGAAGCATCTGAAGCCTCATTCTTGCAGATATCATTTTTGAGATGGGGGGAGCTGGCTGAAGTACTATTCTGCTCAGCTCATAGTACTAAGTAGCTTTGCCAGGCATAACTTGGCCACTGGCAGAAATCTGGAGGGGGGATAGGTACACAATTGATGATGGTACAGCATCACTTCCGAGGAGAACCCAGAAGTAATGTCTTGCCTCTCTAGGAACTCTCCAGAAACTCTATGGTAAAACCATACTTGAAATGCAAACTATACACATACTTGTTTTCAGCATAACAGAATTTGTTCAAGTTTGTCTGCTGTTTATCCAGCTGTCTTCTCCTTTGGTCTCCCTGTCTGTTGAAATGACACCTTGTAAGCACCTTGTATTTTTTGTTACGTCACTCTGTAACACATGCAATGTTCCCTCTAAGCTATGGAGCCCTGTGAGCAAAAATTCTACTTTGTGAGCTACTGGCATTAATGTTGTGAGCAGGAGGTTTGGCTGTTGCATAAATTAGTTTGCTCTGAAGCCATCCTTCCTGAGCGAAGACAAAAATGTGTGATCCAGAGGCTAAAAAATTGTGAGCTAGCTCACACTAACTCAGCTTAGAGGGAACACGGAACACATGGTGTACCCTGAAACAGTATTATAATAACGAACAAAATGAATGAATGAATAGTTTACCTGCAAGTTAAGAGGCCTAGTTTGAAACCAGTCTGATCCTGGCCGTTGAGCAAAACGGGAGTTTTTGATTCTGTAAGGCTGCCAGACTGGCATGTGGAAAACTTTGCGCTAGAAGTATAATGCTTCACACTGAGCGCGGGCTGCTCCTGGCAGACTTCCCCAGAGGATCCCATCTTTAAGACAAATCTGATCAACATGCCACCTGCCATCAGTTAACAGCCTGTTCCTTAAGAAGCTCATGTGGGATGTGACTCTGATTGAATGTGGCACTGAACCACTGGGCAACCAGCCATCTCTCCCCCCCCCCTTTGGGGAAGGGCATTCGTTTTGGCGTTTATTAATAGACATTGCATTCTTCAAGTTTATTCTAAACTAGAAATAAGATCCGTTGTGGAAATAAATACAACGGGATCTAGAAAGAGGCTCTGGGAGAGTGCTCTGGCTTTGGGCAAACAGTGTTTTTTTCAGTTGTGGTGTGGGCGGGACCCGGGCTTTGCCTTCTGATTGGTGGTGATATATGCTGAGGAGCAGTGCCATCAGCCATACACTAAGGGAGTGCATTTTAGAATTAGAACTTTGGCACCCACTATTCAATTATATATAAGGAGAGATACTGGTGCAGTTTCAGAATCCTCAGTTAGGCACTTCATCTAATGCAAGTCTGCATCACCACTGAAAATCAGGAGTTGGGGGAATCTCCAGACCGCACCTTGTGCTTTGAATTTAATTCCCTTTTCGAGTCATTTTGAAAAATCCTGAAACTTTTTCTAGGACACCTTACTCCTTGCCCCCATTTTTTCATCAATCTATTTCTTAGTCCCATTTCTTTTAAAATGAATTTCTCACTCTAAAACGTTTGCAGATCGAAACATTGGAAGGAATTTTTTTACATTAGCAAAAACCGACAAATGCTCTTGTGTTATGACTTTTGTTGTTGATCTTGTCTCTTTACAGTTTTGCATGGAGTTAAATCAGCCGACTCTGCCGAATATTCGCAAGTGGAGAGGCCCTCGAGGGTGCTGGAAGGGAGTTACTTCTGAGAAGCCCTCAGGACAGCCCCAAAGGGTATTCTAGTCTAATAATCCTCCCTCCTTGTGATATTTTGGGGGTTGTTTCCATCCCAAGGGCATAGTATAATTTATTTATGCTAGAACCTTCTGTACTTTTTTTCTTTAAGGTAGTGGTGGCAAAGGATTATATTTCTCCTCTGCTTTGAGCTGACTTCTCATAATTGACTTTCCCCTGGACTTTGTTATTGATTTTGGAAATGCTTGCATTTTCCCCCTCAGATTGCAGTGAGTTTTTGTCCCAAAAAAGTAAAAAGCTTTATTTAAAACTCCACACGCTCACATTTATGTCTACCCACTACCCTCCAGAGATATCTATATATGGAGAATTTTTATGCTGGAATCCATAGCCTTTTTGGTTGTGTGGCTGCTGAGGAAAGGGCGAGATAGGAAAGATCTGCCTTTGCAGGTCATTTCTGCAGTACAGGATCCCACCCACTGCATTTACATTGGAATTACATGACAACATGATGGATAGATTCATCCGTTAGCCCCAATAATTAAATGGAGCCATACCTCTGAACACCAGCTGCTGGGAGGCAAACAGTGGGAAAAGGACATTGTCTTGATTCTCTGTGGATTTTCAGAAGCATCTAACTGGACTTAATGGGTCTGGGGTCCATTACAGATGCAAAGAATGTCTTTGAGTAACCTTTACAGTGAATTCAAGTGGTCAGTCATCATCATTCCCTTTGATATAATTGAAAATTCCATTCCCTCTGGTAACGTCTTCTCACACCGAGACAGTAGATGAGAGCCAAGCTAGGTCCATGGGTGACTGTACCCCAAACCCTTTGAACAGGTGAATCCCTCAACAGAATCTCCAGAGCATTACTCATTTTTGGTAATCCACAGTTGCAGTTTGGTTAGTTGTATAAGTGAATTGTTTTTGAATGGCAAATAGTCTTTCTTTATCAGCTTTCCCCTTTTGCTTCCCAGGGTGTGGAATATTCGGGCTTCTTGTGGGATGTGACTGCAGGTATAGAGCTGAAGGATGCCACCATCTATGAGAACACGCACACAAATGGGAATGGGAGGCAGGCGTATCCTCAGCCATATGTTGCACACTTCAAGGTAATGTGCTCAAGAGAGGGCCTTCTTTTCTTTACCTTCTGAGATTTTATATCCCAACGTTCTATTGTGAAAACACCTCAGTCGGCTTACAAAGATGGCGGCTTGTATCCTACCGTTTTGTTCAACTGTGTGCAGCACATTCCTCTTGACACAAGAAGCCGTCCTTCAATGCAAAAGGCTCTGCGACTGAAGGAAAGAACCTCTTAAGGCTTTTTTGTGCTGAAGGAAGAAACTGCTGCTTCCTTGGCAAAAGGCAGGATATAAACTGATATAAACACAAAAACGTCAATCCATGAAAGGCCTAACGTTAATATAAAGCATATAATTAACAAACATAATGAAAATAAAACCTACAATATGAAAAAAAGAGTTGAACCTGAGAAGAGGCAGTTGAGAACAATGGCAGTCAATAAGCCTAGACAGCAGAAGCGCAAACAATTCGCAGCAAAGAAGAATGACTGGAATAATAAAATTTAAGAAGTCTGAATCCCAACAGACAGTCAATTCCCGAAGGTCATACAGAATGAGCAAGTTTTTATGTTTCAGCAGAAGGGCTGACAGGGATGGTGCTGTACTTTGGAAAGGGAATTCCATAATCAGAGTGGAGGAAGGAAAGGCTTTTCCAGGCTCCCTGATTGGCCTCCATCTTGCACGGAAGACTCTCAGAAAAGGCCTATCTAACCTTGGCATAAATGGGTAGATGTAGAGTTTTAGGTATTGTGGACCCAAACTTGGAAGGTCAAAGCTCTGAGTTGGGCCTGAAAGCAAATTGAGAGCTCACGCCATTCCTAAGGCACTGGATGTATATTTATTTATTTTTTTCAGTTTATACCCCGCCCGCTAGTGCAGGCTTTGGTCCCCAGAATTTGAGTGGTTGTGTTTTGCATCAGTTGACATTTCCATGCCATCTTCAAAGGCAGCTATATGTAGAAAGTTTTTGTGGTAATCTAATCTGGGAGCTGCCCAACCATGGGTGAGACTGGGGGGGTTTGCATTTCCAGAGTTAAAACTTCTTAGAATTGTTGTACATTTAAAAACATGACCATGTTTTGAATTTTAAGTGAGTTCTTTAGTGTAGCCAATCAAAATAGCCGAACAGCGTATCCTGTGATATTTATTTAGTTTGATATTGCTATATCCCCTTTGATTTTTTTCAAAAGAAAAATCCAAAGCTGCTAATAAATGTTATGCCCAAATTAGTGAGAGCAGATCCACAAAAGATGGGCTTGTTCTTTCTTCAGCAAGGCAACTAACTGTCGATGGAGGGATTGGGAGTAGTTGGATCAGCCAGGCCAACAAGAAGGGCCTCCCTTCCTTTCCCTTCCCAAGTTGGCCACCAGTGGTGTTTGAGAGGAGGTAAGGGGGCAAGCGATAGTTGGGCCAGGCAGGCTTATGGGAAGAGCCTTGTTCTCTCTGCCTCTCCTTCTGCAGGATAAAATGTCTGACCCAAAGCAATTTCTCATAAATACATACAAACAAACCTCAGCTCTCCCATGGCTATTAGTAGGAATACTTTTTCAAATGTGCCAGGTAATTGTCACCATCACAACTGCTGTGTAGCAAGGTGCTAGACAGAGATGGCAAGAGGAAATTTTTTACTAAGGGTGTTAAGCTTAATGCCATTCTATGTCCTGTTTGGTTCACATCCCTATGCAGGTTGTTTACAAGATAAATATTAGCAATCTTGGCCCATTTAGACCATATATGAGTTTTTATATGCAGTATTATCATGGTAATGAAGGGCTGCGGTGGCTCAGAGACGCTGAGCTGCAGACCGGAAGGTCTGTAGTTTGGCAGTTCGAGACCCTAGTGCCGCATGACGGAGGGCGCTCCCATCTCTGGCCCCAGGTCCTGCCAGCCTAGCAGTTCAAAAGCAAGAAATTTCAAGTAGATAAATAGGAACCACTTTGGTGGGAAGGTAACAGCGTTCTGTGCTTAGTCACGCCAGCCACATGACCATGGAAACGTCTTCGCACAGTGCTGGCTCTTTGGCTTGGAAACGGAGATGAGCACCACCCCCTAGAGTTGGATTTGACTGGCTTTCGAGCAAGGGAAACCTCTACCTTTACCTATTATCATGGTATGCTTATGGGGGGAAATTTCTTGGAAGCAAAATGAGGGCACTTGATAGATTAGGAAAAAAATCCTGCCATGGTAGGATCTCGGAGGAGAGTGGTTTCTTTAAATGAAGAAGCAAAATGAGGGCACTTGATAGATTAGAAAGGATCTCGGAGGAGCGTGGTTTCTTTAAATGACCATTTCGTTTGCAATCATGTGACAGTTGGCGTTATTCACATAAGCTGCAGCATGGGGACCATTCATCGTGGGTCACAGATCAAAAAGACAGGAGGAAATGGCAAAGTTGTGAGAATTTGTTACAGAAGAGGAAAAGGATTGTAGAAGAAATGTAATATCAGCTTATGTCTAATATATGAGAATGCAGTATAACTGGGGTGGGGAGTGGTTTTTTAAATGACAAATTACTGAAAAATAGTTTAAGAAATATGGGACCGCAGATTTTAGGTCTCCTGTCTTTTTGTCACATTTGTATCCTCCCTTCCCCCAAAGGCATGGGAGACATCCCTGACTTTATCTGCACAATAACCCAGTGAGATTAGGCAAAAAAAAGTAATTGGCCCCCAGATACTATATTGGGATTTGAACCTCACACACACACACACACACACACACACACAGTGACTCACTTTTTTTTCCAAATTCTTCCAGATTTAAAATTTAAATGCAGAGATATAAATTTAGAATTCCAAATGGATTGTTACTCGTTTCCAATGAAAACTGTTAGCATGAAAAAACAAACACGCCTTTCATGCAGTAGAAGGAACCGTAGGTTGGAGAAGTGTGGGCTGGGGGTGTCAAAATACATGTGATTGACTCTGGGTGGGGGGCAGTGAAGTGGGTGGGGGGCAGTGAAGTAGGAGAAGTTCTCTTACAGTGATTCATTGTGACCTAAGCTGGTGGTTTTTAAAGTTTTGATGGTTGTGGCTGGCTTTGTGGACGGTCCTTTGGAAACCTTGTGCGCTCATGCTTTCTTTCCCCCCACCTATCTAGGTGGGGATGAGTGATCTAACGCTGGTTAACATTCATCTGGCCCCCTTGCTCTCAACGGGAGAAAATGCTGTGAAAAACCACGATAGCCACAAATTAGCAGCCTTTGCACAGACTCTACAGGAAACTTTGAAAGGTAAGACCATATTTTTCTTCAAACACAACCTGTGCAGTTAAAACAAATGAGAAACAAAAAACCGTAGCCTGTGGGTCTCGTGTCCACTTGGATTAAAAAACCTACATCAATCCTCACCCATTTTACAAACCCCAGAATTGAAGAAAAAGAAGAGGAGGAGATTGGATTTATACCCCCACCCTTCACTCGGAGTCTCAGAGCGGCTTACAAACTCATCTCCCTCCCCCTCCCCACAACAGACACCCTGTGAGGTAGGTGGGGCTGAGAGAGCTCTGAGAGAAACTGCCCTTTCAAGGACAGCTCTGACAGAACTACGACTTCCCCAAGGTTATCCAGCAGCTGCAAGTGGAGGAGTGGGGAATCAAACCCTGTTCTCCCAGACTAGAGTCCACGCACTTAACCACTACACCAAACTGCCCTGTGGTGGGCTCATGCTGGGCTCATCCAGTGAATTCATAGATAGACATCAGATGGTTAATTGCCTAAGACAGCAGCTGGGAGCTGTACAGGGAAGGGAAGTGCTTATATGATCCCTCAGGCCTTGACCCAGGGCTATTTTTGGGCAGGAACGCACAGGAACGGAGTTCCGGCCGGCTCCCGAGTCGGCAACGCCCAGCAGGAACTCATTAGCATAATAGGCCACACCCAACAGCAGAAACTCATTAGGATTGGCTACATTAGGGGCGTGTGGCCTAAAATGCAAAGGAGTTCCTGCTACAAAAAAAGGCCCTGGGTTTTGACAACAAACAAGGTAAACAGAATAAGAAGCAAAAGGTGGGTGTGGCTGGATGACCACACTTCTGGTAACATGTGGGTGTGGCCTAATGTGCTAATGAGCTGTGCTGTCAGGGGTGTGGCCCAATATGCTAATGAGTTTCTGCTGTTGAGCCAGCCATGCAAGATGGAATAATTAAACGGGTGGGGGGGGCTGTCAAGTCGCAGCTGACTCACGGCAACCCCGTCGGGTTCTCAAGGCAAGAGACGTTCAGAGGTGGTTTGCCATTGCCTGCCTCCGTGTCATGACCCTGGTATTCCTTGGAGGTCTCCCATCCAAATACTCACCAGGGCTGACCCTTCCGAGGTCTGATGAGACCGATCTAGCCTGGACTACCCAGGTTTACTGTTTACCAGGGCTAAAGCTGCTGCACATGATTTAGCTGGGTTTTTCAAGGTCAGTGGCTTAAAACCAGTTTTGGAATCCAACCCCCGTCTCCAGTTGCAGAAGAGGTGTGCGGAGAGAGAGCGCCATGACATTCAATCCGTTACGTGCGTTTAAGCTGCAAGGCTCTGGAAGTTGTGCGTCGCTGACCATGACCCCCGTACCTTTAGCGTGGAAAGAAAGTATGGCTCTGATCTAAAGTTACTGGAGTTGATGCTGGATCTGTTGGGTCAGAATTTAGTTGGCTCCCCCCTCCCCTCCGCCCCGCAACACTTTAATGCATATTTTTAAAGCTAGGAAATCACTTCCAGAATGGTTCTCCATTAGACAAGTATTGATTTCCTCTCCATGCAAATGGACTTGAAAATAGCATTACGCTGCTTCATTTGAGGGAAACACTCTTGGAGGGCTGCCGGATGACCATAAGTGTCTATGATCAGAAGCAAGTCCCGCTGACTTCCATTCTTAGGGGCATCCCAAGGGCAGTTTCCATAACAGGCTCACAAACGTGACAAACAGGGTTGGGAAAAGCTGCCCTAGCTGGGCAAGCAGCAGTGAACAGGCTCAAGGGATGGCGTTCTCGTGCCCTGTCCCTGCACCCCACGGTGCTGGCATGACCCCTCTCGCCCCCCTTCCTGCTTGTCACATCGGCAGCTCGCACACAAACACCTCCAGCCCAACAGCTGAGCCTTGGCTGAATTGTTTTAAACCCTGTTTAGGGGTGGGCAGCGCCAGCACTGAGTGTCACCATTTGAAGGCTGCAGCGAGCTTTGAACCCACCCAGTCCCCCAAATTGGCTGCAGGCAGCGCTTTCCCCTTTAAATGCAATTCCCTCCAGTTTGGTGTAGTGGTTAAGTACACGGACTCTAATCTGGGAGAATTGAGTTTGATTCCCCACTCCTCCACTTGCAGCTGCTGGATGACCTTGGGCAATCCATAGTTCTGGTCAGAGCTGTTCTGGAAAGAGCAGTTCTGGAAAGAGTTCTCTCAGCCCCACCTACCTCACAGGGTGTCTGTTGCGGGGCGGGGAAGGAAAAGGAGTTTGTAGGCCGCTCTGGGACTCTAAGGGAAGGGCAGGGTATAAATTCAATCTCCTCCTCCTCCTCTTCTTCTTCTGCAAGACAAATCAGGTTTCTCTTTGCTCTGGCTTCAACGGGAGCCCCTCAGACTGTGCTCAGAAGGAGCACGGTGTCTTGTGGAAGTTCCCAAATAAAGCAAGGACATGCTTCGTGCCACGTGGGGTGGAAATCCACTTACGGAAACAGCCCTGCATGCCTGCAGTCCCTTTCAGTCTCTCTTGCTTTATTGGATCTAGGATCTCAGGCCTGGTTTAGAGGCTGTGTGCGGGCAGCAAGCTGGCTCACACATCATTCTGTCCAGTGTCTGCATGTCCTGCTCATAAAGGCTGGGGAAGGTCATGGAATTATGTGCCATGCTGGGAGCACACCGCGGAGGTGTGGAATGCACCTGGTTGGCTGCACCGACTGTCGAGGGAGAGCAGCATTTTCTCTGCTTACATCGGGGACCAGACAGATACCCCGGGGGGCTTTCCCTCAATCGCTGGCCTAGGAAGAACCCTAACGAGTGTTCCCTCTAAGCTGAGTCTTTTAGCCTCCGGCTCACAGATTTTTGTCTTCGCTCAGGAAGGAGGGCTCCAGAGCACACTAATTTATGCAGTTGCCAAATCACTCGCTCACAGCTTTAATGCCAGGAGCTCACAAAGTAGAATTTTTGCTCACAAGACTCCCCAGTTTAGAGGGAGTGTTGACCCTAACCCTTCCCTCCTTCTTCATAAGAAGCCCCTGTCCTCGTGAGGCCTTGCTGGCCCAGCCTCAGATGGCGCTCTGTTCAGGCCGGAGCCCAGCTCCAAGCCAGGTGAAGCCAAGTCTTAGACCAGGATTCCAATCACCCTGCGAGAGAACCTTCAGGAGCCCCAAAGCTATAACAGCCCAAAGAGGCCAGATGTTCTTGCGCTTTGGCACATATGTGGATTGGAGGCAAGACCAAGTGGGTACCTTGAAAAAGCAGGACCTTTTTATATAACCAGATTCCTTCTACACAGACCATGCTGGTTATGCAGTTGCCACTGTAAGGGTCTGCCCATCTCCAGGTGAGGCCCGGAGGTCTCCTGGAGTTGCAGCTGATCCTCGGACTACAGAGCTCAGCTCCACTGGAGGAAAAGGCAGCTTTGGAGACTGGGCTCCGTGCTGCTCTACCTCACCGAGGCCGCTTCCCTTTCCAAACCTGCTATCCCGGGATCCACCTCCAAAACCGTGAGGAATTTCCCAACCTGGAGTCATCAACCCTAGTTGCCCCGGCCAGTGATTTAGCTGGGGAGAGTCGAAATGGGCCAGTGCAAAAGGTTGGCAGACTGTGGGGACTGGATGATGCTCTTTCCAGAAAGCTTGTCTTGCTCCGCTCTCAGTTTGACTTCCTTTAGAACCCGAAATCATTTAGGTTTTCTTGTCACTTTCCCCCCCACGTTAACGTCTTTTCATCCCCGTCCCCATTCTTTAGTTTTTGAAACTGGATGATATGGAGGAGGGGATCCCTTCAAAAGGGCACACTTGTTGCACTGAGAAAACACTCCCTCACGGGTGCAGAAATATTTAAATTATATGTAGATAATGTCCGGGGCTGCGGTGGCTCAAGTGGTTAAAGACGCTGAGCTGCAGACCAGAAGGTCGGTAGTTCAGCAGTTTGAGACCCAAGTGCTGCATGACGGAGCGAGCTCCCGTCTCTGGTCCCATCTCCTGCCAACCTAGCAGTTCGAAAGCAAGACATTGCAAGTAGGTAAATAGGTACCACTTCGGCGGGAAGGTAACAGCGTTCCGTGCGCCTTGGTGTCTAGTCATGCCGGCCACATGACCACGGAAATGTCTTCGGACAGCGCTGGCTCTTCGGCTTGGAAACGGAGATGAGCACTGCGTCCCTAGAGTCTGATTCGACTGGCTTTCGAGCAAGGGAAACCTTTACCTTTACCTAATGTGCAGGGTTGCCAGCTCCAGGTTGGGAAATTTCTGGAGATTTGGGAATGGAGCCTGGGGAGGGCAGAGTTTGGGGCAGGGCAGGACTTCAGCAGGGCATAATACCGTGGAGCCCACCTTCTGAAGCAGCCATTTTCTCCCAGGGAACTGATCTCTGTCGTCTGGGGATCGGTTGTAATACTGGGAGATCTCCAGGTAGCACATGGAGGTTGGCAACTTGTCAGGTGTGCCCCCATGTTTGCAGAAAGGGGGTGTTTGATGCACAAAACAGGGTTCAAATACCTTTTTCTGCTGAGAAGTTCTACTTGTGTACTGCTTGTAACATTTATGAGTTGAGATTGAGAACTCTCTTGAAGTGTTGATTCAGGACGGGATGCAAGATGGGGAGGGTTTGTGACCGATTCTGGGCTCCCTCTGCTGGCTGGCTATTTGCATAGCAATACATCGCTTGAGTCTTAAGAGTCCACAGCAAGCTGGTATTTTAAAAAAATGTTCTACCACACCCAAAGAATAAATGTCAGCTTAAGCAAATAACATGACAGTCAGTAAGATATCGGCAGCTGATTTTGTGCTTGTTAAATATTTCTAGCCCTCTCACAACTTTAAAAAAAAAATCTGGAATTTTCTCAAGTTATTAATTGACATTTATCAGATTTTTTGAGGCTCTGTTCTCCACCATTATTGAGCGTACCATTTACAGTTATCTGGTAGCTGAGCCCAAGAATCTATCTCGTTGCTCAGAGGGTCAGCTTCCAGATCAAACAAGGAAACTTGGCCAAAAAGAAAAAAGAATGTTAGCAATGAATTATGCAGCGGCAAAGATCAACATAAATAATTAAGCTAAAAATCCAGGCAGTACACAGTCAAAGGGCTGGAATTGAGTACAGGAATTACAAAAGAAGCTTATAGTTCTAAGCTGAGGGGAAAAAATCAATGCAAGATTTTGAATCGAAGAGATTTAACCCTGGGAAAAAGTAAGTGCATTTGTAAGAATCTCAACTGCTTCCCCTAAATATAAAATATATATTTTATGTTACCTATTGTGGTTATAAATATCAAACAGAAAAAAAATAATTCAAAAAAAAGTGCATTTTTTAAAAAAGAGCATTTCTGAGACAGTATTGTTTAGATACTGAAAAAGTAGCTGCTAGAATGTCGACGTTGGTTAGTGTTATCCTTTGCAAAATTATTTGTGGGCAATCCCTGCACTGATCATCAACGTTCAGTCACTGACCCTTCCTCCTCCACGCTGTTGGAATGTTTCTGAACATTCTGACACTGCAGCAACTTAATTCAATAGCCTGGATGCTGTTTAAGTGATAAACAACAGGCAGCCAACTATTCTATCCTGCCCGGTTCCTTTAACAAAGCAGCTCACTTTTTCTTTTTAAAAAAATGCTCCTTATGAGCAATATTTTTCCCTTCTGTATTTATCTCATTCTCGGAGTGCACGTCTTTCCCCAATCTTCTTCAAACGTAGGCTAGGCTAAGAGAGCAAGAGACAGTCACCCGAGGATCTTTAGGGCAAAGTGGGGCTGTGAACTTGCATCTCCTAGACCCTAGCCTGGCCCTCTGACTTTGACACCACACTCTAGCTACTACATCACACTGTGTTACCTGCAGAGGTCATTTTGGGGGGGAATGCGGGGGATCGCAGTTCCCCCGGGTGAGGTACCAGGGGGCGGGGCACATGATGAAGCCCCGCCCCCTGCTTCCAGCTGCCTCGCTTCCGGCCCTCATTCAGCCAGGAGGAGGCAGGAGAAGAGGGAGGGTAAGTTGCTTCCTCCCTGCCTCTCCCCACCCCTGCCTGCCTGGGGCCAGGGAGGGCCTTCGCGGGGCTTCCTCGCACTCCCGCCGGCTCTGCAGGTCCACCGCCGGGCCCCTCCTGGGGCTCGGCAGTGGAGCTGCAAGGCCGCCGCCGCCAGCTGAGACCGTTGGGGGCGGGGTGTGTGGCCTTATGACACACTTCCGGTGATGTCAGGGGGTGTGGCATATGCTAATGAGTTATGCTAATGAGTTCCCCTAGCTCTTTTTCTACGAAATGACCCCTGGTTACCTGGCATGATTTATTTTGCACCATCTGTGTCCATATATTCTGCAAGGAAAGAAAAAGATGCATGTCTGCCCCCAAGGGCTTTATTCTGAAAACAGATGGTGGGGAAGAATCCGGATGGCAAGGAGATATAAAAGCGGCCAAATGATCTTACTCCTACTGAAACTTGGTTACAGTTGGGAATTCAATGTTCCCTCTAAGCTGTGGAGTCTTGTGAGCAAAAATTCTACTTGGTGAGCTGCTGGCATTAAAGTTGTGAGCGAGCGATCTGGCTGCTGCATAAATTAGTTTGCTCTGGAGCCATCCTTCCTGAGCTGAGACAAAACTGTGTGAGCTAGCTCACACTAACTCAGCTTAGAGGGAACACTGCTTGGGATCAAGAGTTAAAGGGGTACGTCAAAGACCTTGAAGAAGAGGCGTGATCTGAGAGAGGACCTAAGGGCAGTGTTCCCTCTAAGCTGAGTTAGTGTGGGCTAGCTCACAGTTTTCTAGCCTACGGCTCACACGTTTTTGCCTTTGCTCAGGAAGGATGGGGCTCAAGAGCAAACTAATTTAGGCAGTAGCCAAATCGCTCGCTCACAACTTTAATGGCCAGTAGCTCACAGAGTAGAGGTTTTGCTCACAGGTCTCCACAGCTTAGAGGGAGCACTGCCTGAGGGCAATGTTCCTTCTAAGCTGTGGCGTCTTGTGAGCAAAAATTCTACTTTGTGAGCTAGTGGCATTAAAGGTGAGAGCGAGCAATTTGGCTACTGCAAATTTGGCTATTGCAATTTGGCTACTGCAAACGTTTGCTCCGGAGCCCTCCTTCCTGAGCTAAGACAAAAATGTGTGAGCTGGAGGCTAAAGAACTGTGAGCTGGCTCGCACTCACTCAGCTTAGAGGGAGCACTGCCTGAGGGTACAGAGGGAGGAGTCAACATGTACCATGTTTTAGGAAAGTATTTTGTACGGAGGAGGCTAGTGAAGTAGAACAGGCAAAGCGGTGTTGAATCAGAGGGGTGAAGGCTGTGAACAGGGACGTCTCTGCTCCTCGGTCGATCACTGAGCCCTTCATTTTTGTTTTATTCCCCCCCCCCCAGGAGAAAAAGATGTGATCATTTTAGGAGACTTCAGTCAAGCTCCAGACAGTAGCGACTGTGACCTGTTGAGGAAGGAGAAGTTCCATCACCTGGTCCCCGCCAATACGTTTACAAACATCAGCACAAAGAACCCTCAGGGGTCGAAGTCCCTGGACAACATCTGGATCAGCCGTAGCTTGAAAAAGATATTCACCGGTGAGCTTGTCAGTTCTGCAGGAAGTGAACACTCGGTATCGATATATAATCAGGCTTCCGTAGTTTGTCATGGTGTTGTGGGGCTCGCCAGCTGTGGAGCACATAACTACATTTCCTGCCGCACATCTTGTTAAGTGCACTTAGGGAAACTTTGAAAGTTGGATGCCAGACTTTCCTCATAAACCTGTTCCGCACTTTATCTGAAAGTTGCCTATACTGTGATGGTTTCCTTTTTTCTTTTTTCTTACTGTCAAGTTGTGACCAACTTAATGGCAGCCCCGTAGGGTTTTCAAGGCAGGAGACATTCAGCGATGGTTTGCCATTGCCTGCCTCTGCGTAGCAACCCTGGACTTCCTTGGCGGTCTCCCATCCAAAGAGTGGCCAGGGCGGACCCTGCTTCGCTTCCAGGCTAGCCTGGGCTATCCAGGTCAGGGGACTGTTTTGCTCAGCAATGTTTAATACTTGCTACAGTAAATGTGTAAAAGGAGCTGCGGTGGCTCAAGTGGTTAAAGACGCTGAGCTGCAGACTGGAAGGTCGGTAGTTCGGCAGTTCGAGACCCGAATGCCGCATGACGGAGTGAGCTCGCGTCTCTGGCCCCAGCTCCTGCCAACCTAGCAGTTCGAAAGCAAGAAATTGCAAGTAGATAAATAGGTACCACTTCGGTGGGAAGGTAACTGCGTTCCACATGCCAGCCACATGACCATGGAGAAGTTTTTGGACAGCGCTGGCTCTTCGGCTTGGAAACAGATGAGCACCGCAACCCTAGAGTCGGATTCGACTGGCTTTCGAGCAAGGGAAACCTTTACCTTTTACCTTTACAGTAAACGTGGGAAGAGGAGATGTGTGGCCAATCGCAGCTCTCCCTGTGCATATGTCTAACGTGTGTCTCTTGGTGTTAGAAGATACAACTCTTCTGCATGCTTGCCGATTTTTTCAAGATCCCCCCCCTCCCCAATTTCTACAAGAGCTACATGCCTAATTTTTAAGAGATCTTAGAAACATTCTGGCCATTTTGATACATTTTGTGTGTGCATTTATTTGTTTTAATTTTATTGTTTCAGTCCTGCTCTTCTTTTGAAAGCTACAAGAAAGGACTATGTATTATGAATGGACTATTTTTTGGCTACCTGATGTATTACTGGTCTGTATTATAGGGTTACACCTGTTTATGAGTAATATTGCACCGCTTTATCAGCTATAGCGTTTCCCTGGCCTTTTTTCTTTTTTGGAGTATTACTTCTTTTGAAAGCTTCAGCAGCTTAACACGTGATTCTCAGTTGTCTCCTAATGCCGCTCCAGGGCATCGATTAAGTTCACAACCGTATAATTTCAAAAGAACTGCAGTATATCAGATCCTTTTACACCATTCCCTTGCGTATTAGAAGCTAGAGAGCAAAAGGCTTTGTTGTGTCACTGGGTGTAGTCTTAAAAAAAATGCCCTTCCCCCCCAAAAAATTACACTTCTCTTTTTCTTCCCCATTTTCCATCTCTGCAGGTCATTGGGCCGTGGTGAGAGAAGGTCTTACGAACCCCTGGATCCCTGACAACTGGTCATGGGGCGGAGTAGCATCAAGCCATTGCCCGGTGTTAGCCGAATTCTACATGGAAAGAGACTGGAACAGAAAGGACACCATTCGTAATGGGAATGGGGTGATGGTGGAGCGTAGTGACTCAAATGTGAAACACGAGCGATGATAGTCTGCGAAGTCAAACCTCTGTCCCCGTGCCTGGAAAGGATGGTTGGAAGATCCCTTTGCTCAAGGCCCAACTGTGAACCAGAACTGCCTTTTTTCTCGTTTAAAAAGAATCAGCTTCTGCTTTTAACACCTCCTTTTCCCATCTCCCCCGCTCTGTGCCCCTCTGTGAATGTTGGAGGGCATCTTCTTGCCATAGAGTGGTTTGTGATTTTTTTTTTTTAAATGGAGACATGGTGGACACTCTTGTGCTTGGATAACTACAAATAAAATGCACTTTTTAATACTGTATGTTCATGATCTCTGTGATTTCTTATAGAATGCCACCTTAATGGATAAAAGAGAGTAGCTCATAGAAATACAGATTCGCATAACCCGTTTTTAATTGTATTACACGATTTGTGTGTGTGCCTGTGTTGTATGAGTGGGCTTTCTGTATTGATGGCGAGCCCAACGAGTGAATGTGAATTCTGCGTATGTTGGCAAGAATATCACTTTATTGCATCCACTATAATCTTGGAAGTGGAGCCACTGTGCATTGTGACCTGAATACGTGTCAAAGCAGTTGCAAAATAAGTAAGTTCCTAGGCCTGTTGAAAAGACAGCTTGTTGTTTGCTAATGTCTTATGTGAAATAGCCTTGGGATATCTGAATGAAACAATAAGTAGAAATGAGGATAGGGGTACAGCATCACAATTTATTTATTTATTTATTTATTTCATCACATTTCTATACCGCTCCTTCCCAGAGGCTCGGAGCGGTTTACATATATACATTTAATCATCTAGCTAGGGCCACATATATTTCAGGGGAGATGGGTGCCTTACCAGGCACCTAAGCAGCGTAGGTCTTTTTTGTCTGTGGCGGGTCTTGCTGGAACCAGATGGTAGCGTCCTTCCGCGGAGGTCTTTTCTTTTTGGCTCGGCTCTCCTGGGGCGATCCTCTATGGCATGCGGCTGCCCGATGAGTCACACTGGTCTCTGTCCCGCAAGGCTCCGACCGCGCTTACGTCACCACGCCGCCACGCCGCCACGAGTCGCCTGCTGTCTGCCGCCAATCTGCTGATCCATCGTCATGTTCTTTCTGCCTGGCTCGCCACTCGTTGTTCGCCGCATCCCCCAGCCACCGCTGCTGCCCTCCAGTATTAGAGGTAGGGTGCCCCCCCACTCCTAAGGAGTGGGTACCCATTTGTCTAATTGCCATTTAGGGCTTTCGAGCCGCTGGGTGGGCGGGAGCTAGGACAAGGGCCGGGAGCTCACCCCGGCTGCGGTGGGACTCGAACAGCTGTCAAGGCTGTTCAGAGATAGATTACTTGCAGGCATTTACTGCCTGCGCCACCGCTCCACAATGTGCACAAACGTACCCTATGGCCAAGGTTCAGCGTGGACTTAGGAATGCTTTAGCCCAATTGAAGTGAAGAATTAAACCCGGCATCCTTCTTGGGATTGTGGCCTGTTTGTGGCAGTGTGATTACTTCGTAATGCCTAAATTGAACTCCCTTTTCTGATCTGTGGAAACCTTTTCTAATGCAGCAATCCCCAGTGCAGTGCTTGTGATGCCTCTGTGTTTCCTGGTACCCACTTCCTCTTTGAATTTTTAAGGATGAAATAGAACAGGGAGGGAAAAACAGTGTTTCACATTTCTGACTACTGTCTGATTGACAGGCACAGCTCATCCTGCTCTCAGTCCTTACGGGGCTTGTTCAAGCGACTTTCCTTCAACCATCTGAAATAGAAATCTGAGCAGCTGGGCGGGATACTTGCTTGTTTTTGTTCACCCCAAAAGGAATTGTAAAGACAAGGTGGACCTAGACCATGAGTGGGTAGCTTTTATTTTCACGAGGGTCACGCCATACATTCCTGTTTGGAAGTCTCTGTATTATAAGTCTGTATGAAACCTAAAACTTGGAGCGCCTGGCGTATAAAACAACCTCCCCAAAATGGTTGGGTGCACCTCAGAAACACGAGATGTGAACTGCACAGTCACTCCTGCGGTGTACTTGAGGTTAAAATAGCCTAACCAAGCAAGGCCCAGTCTTTCTCTCGCGAACCCCAGTGGTGGTGGAAGGTGCCCTCAAGCCACAGCTGACTTATGGTGACCCTGGAGGGTTTTCAAGGCAAGAGACCTTCAGAGGTGGGTTTGCCATTGCCTGCCTCCGCATCAGGACCCAGATATTCCTTGGAGGCCTCCCATCCAATACTATCCAGGGCTGACCCTGCTTAGCTTCCAAAAGCTGACGAGATCAGGCTAGCCTGGGCCATCTAGGTCAGGATGGTGAATCCCAGGACTTCCTAAGACCTCCAGTGGAAAGCTGTCCGAGGTCTTCAGTAAAATTTTTTCTTCCCTGTCATGGTTCCAATTCTCTGGACATACTTCTCTAGGACGGTCCCCAAGTAATTCCTGAAATGTATAGGAAGCAGGTAAAATATCTTTCTTCTGAAATGAGTATTCAAGCCAAGTTTTTAGTGTGCCTTTGTTGTATTTTAATTCTGCTTTCACTGGGCAATGCTTTGTTGTTGTTGTTGTTTATAAATTTTATTAGATTTTCACATCAGCAGTATAGGATGGGCTCTTTTTGTAGCAGGAACTCCTTTGCATATTAGGCCACACACCCCTAATGTAGCCAATCCTCCAAGAGCTTACAGAGCTCTTCTTACAGGGGCTACTGTAAGCTCTTGGAGCATTGGCTACATTAGGGGTGTGTCACTTAATATACAAATGAGTACCTGCTACAAAAAGAGCCGGCTATGGGGTAAGACATACAGGGGGAAAAATCCTTCAAGTTTGTATTATAGCTGTCATAAGTTTTTACTTCTATTTACAATTTCCTTTCTTTTATATAGTTGCTAAAATTGTTATCATTATTCCATTCGCTACGAGTTTCTCTGATGCATCCTGAAAAAAGAGAATTAAGCTTTCCGCAGTTCAAACTAGAGTTTCTCTACAATTTTAATTATTTATATTCCTTATTCTTGATCTTCAGAGTTTCTTTCTACCCAGTCATAAAATGGTGTCCAGTTATCCTGGGCAATGCTTTGGGCAGGGTCACCTAGAAAAGCGACTGACTGTTTTTAAAAAACATTTTAAAGAGAATTATTATTATTTATTTATTTTGAGATTTATATCTCACCCCCCTCCCACAACATGGGGCTCAGGGTGGCTCACAACATTTTAAAATAAAACATCATAAGGTTCATCACTGAAGCAGTTAAAATCTTGACATTCTTCTGTACCTAGAAAATATTCAAAAGACAAAAACGCCTGGCAGACCAATTGCAACTAAAAACAAAAGGATTACCTAAAGGCCTGCTGGAACAATTCCGTCTTGCATGCCCTGTGCAACCTTGACAGGTCACCTGTCTCTGAAAAATGTATGTACTTCAAGGGTTAGGTTTTTTAGCAAACTGACAAGTTTGTAGCATGTCACCATTACAATTCTAATCTGCATATTAAGCCAGGTGAATGGATTACAGCCTCTCATGTCCAGAACTGTGCTCCTGAAAGTCTCATTGCAAATCCACTTGCTGACGTAAATCAGATTTCCCATTTTTGCTAAAGCAGTAGACTTTCTGGGAATGTGCGTAAGATGATCCTTTGAAATCAGTACTGCAGATCCAATTTAGAGTAGCCATCTCGGAACTATTCCAAAATCAACTTGACATGAAAACGTGAGTGTAAAGTCACTGATAGATTGTACAATTCAAATGTGTAACAGGGCATGGATTAATCTTACAAAGTTAGATTGTGAATAACCGTAATGCTGGCTTGATAGTTAAAGTGCGCCCCCCCAAAATTGGTTCTTTCTTGTTCCTAGGCCATGTTCCTTAAGGAATATTTTCATACGAAAGAACCTTTCCCTTCATGGGTCGGGTCATGAACTCTTGCCCCAGGAGATGCTCCTGATATTTCCAGGCCTAAGAATTGTAGGGGATAAACAATTGTTAGATCATTGATATATGTCTGGTTTAAGCCTTTCATGTTTACCCTTCCTTTGGTAGAAAGTATGTTATCTAGCTGATAAAACCACAATGTGTGTGTTAAAGTGCCATCAAGTTACTTCCGACGGTGTGGTGACCTGGTGAATCAATGACCTTCAGAATGTCCTATCGTTCACAGCCTTGCTCAGGTCTTACAAACTGAGGGCCTTTGTGGCATCCTTTCTTGAGTCAATTCGTCTCATGTTGGATCTTCTTTCCCTGCTGCCTTCAAACTTCCTTAGCACTGTCGTCTTTTCCAGTGACTCTTGTCTTCTCATAATGGGGCCAAAGTACCATAAAAATGCACGTTGTTGTTGTTGTTGTTCAGTCGCACAGTCGAGTCCGACTCTTTGCGACCCCATGGACAAGATCTCGCCAGGCCCCCCTGTTTTCCGTCGTCCTCTGAAGTTTGCTCAATAAAATGCACGTTGCCTACTTCAAAAAGGATGATATTGGAACAAGACTAAGGTGGCTTAAATCCAGGTGATTTGTTTGATTTACCCAAGGATTAAGGACATAGCTTAATTGTATTACAAAAACAATAGTAGTAGTAGTCTTTTGACAAGAGGGAAGGCCTATGGGAGACTCATGGGGGAGGAAAAGTACCACCTCTGAAGTTTGCTCAATAAAATGCACGTAGCCTACTTCAAAAAGGATGATATTGGGACAAGACTAAGGTGGCTTAAATCCAGGTAATTTGTTTTACTTACCCAAGGATTAAGGACATAGCTTAACTGTATTACAAAAACAATAGTAGTAGCAGTCTTTTGACAAGAGGAAAGGCCTATGGGACACTCATGGGGGAGGAAAAGTACCATTTCCCCCCCAGATCCCCAATTCCAGTTCTCCTTCCTGTCCACCTTTCCTGTTCTTGCCTCACTCCAGCTATTTGTCCCACCCACTCATTTCATCCTTCGCCCTTGCCAGCTCTCCTTCCTTTCCTCGGAGCCCCCACCCCCCACAATCTCTCCTCTATTTTCCTATTAGGTACACACACACGCACCCCCCAACATTTCCGCTGCCATTTTGCCATAGGCAGCATTTTTTTCTTCAGTGTGCCAGTGTCACTGCTACTGATCTGAAGGGGATTAGGGCCCATTTTTTAAATTACTTTCCTGCAAATCTGGGATTTCCCCTGGTTTTGCAGACACCTGTAGTCCTATGTCCTATACACACACACGCACCCCCCAACATTTCCGCTGCCATTTTGCCATAGGCAGCATTTTTTTCTTCAGTGTGCCAGTGTCACTGCTACTGATCTGAAGGGGATTAGATCCTATT